TTTTAATTTTTGGAACCTAACCCCCTTTTTGAACTTTTAACACCCCCTTTCATATAACTCGGATTCGCATAACACGGCAATTTTTTGGAACGTAACTTCCGTGTTACACAGGGGTTACCTGTATCTATATAAATAAAAACGTAATGTTCGTTTGTTCCTACCGATTCCTTTGAAATTTTGACACAATGCAGCATTCGAATACGCATGTGTTTTTATATAATATACATGTAGAAATCCCCCCGGGAGATGGACATGATTAAGGCTTACTGTAAAGAACTCTGCTTCTATTTATACTATTTTAGATGCGAGTTTTTGCGTTTTTGATTGCATTTTAATAGGTACGTCAACAGAATATACACTAAAAAGGGATTTTTCGATATTTCCCCCACGGGGGAGAGGGACAGGATTAAAGCTTACTGTGAAGAACTTGGCTTTTATTATACTATTTTAGATGCGGTTTTTTGTGTTTTAATAGGGTATGTCAAGAGAATGTACACTAAAAAGGAATTTTTTGAAAAATTCCCCCCATGGGGGAAGTGTTATACATTTATAATAGATAAATTTTGAGCCACAACAACGCGTGGCGGAGTCTGCTAGTTTAGAATATTCTGAAGAGAGCAATTCAAAATGGGACTCTTGTGATATCAGAGCCATATTACAATATTTACTTGCATATAAGACAAGGTTTTTATTCATTTATCATGGCCTCAAATTCCTAGGTTGTCCAATATGTGTGAGCAAAAGATTCTTTGCGTTTTTGCAAATAATTTTTGTGACCCGTTTATTCGCATTTTTTACTGGGTGCTTATCCTCTTGTATTTAAAAACATAAGTATTTTATCTGGGTCATTTGAATCGTTCTTGTATATTGTCAGGAGTAAAGATGAATAGCAATAGGAAAAGCAAAGCTTTTGAATTGAATTCCAGATTGAAATACCAAAATCACACGGGAGCCCGATATAAGTTTTAATCCATTCCCACATGAAAACATGATTATTCAGAAATCAGAATTTGGAGAAACTCATAAGTGTAATTGATGGAGAGTTGATTTGACTGTTACGAATTGGCAAAAAAAGGGTTTCTGATTGTCCAGCTTTACATGAACAAATTATGCTGTCAATTTTACCTGTAAAATGCCTGTAATTTTTGAGGGACAATGTGTGCATTTACATTCATTTGATATTTTACTTGTGATTAAAAGAAATAAAATTAGAATTGTATTAATAAATCTAATTTTCTTTATTTTGATCTTTAAAGTCACACTTTGTCCTATATGCAAGTAAATGTGGTATATTCTGATTAAGGTCTGTTTATATCATTTATTAAAAAGAACATGCTCAGCAAAAAATAAATAATAATAACCAAACGATCTCGGCAATGATAAAGGTGTTTTGGTTATTATTATATCATTTATTGCTATTTGTCAGGCTTGGCTTATGTGTAATTAGAAATCTAGAAAAGTTTTGATGTATTTAAGCTTTATTTCATTAAAAAAGTCTCTATAATATAAAAAAACATTCTATTGTTAATATTATTATTATTAGTTTTTTTGGTTAAAGTATACCTAGGTAACCCCTATGGCCGCACTTCCGGTCGCCATCTTGTTTGTGACATGTGCATGTGCAAACAAGATGGCGACCATCAAAAATTACTGATACGTACATATTTTTAAATTTTTTATTTAAACTAAAACATTTTTAAAGCATAAATTTGCTACTTACCTTTTCCCTTACTTTTATTTTATTTTCCTATATTTTTTCCTTCTTGATGACTTGGTTATACTTGTTTTATGGAACCTTCCATTCTCTAAATTGACGATCTGGCTAAATTTTTAGTAAATGTTTACTTCTTTTCTTACCTTTTCATGTATTCCTTTCTGTTAATGTTACTTATGGTGATTAAAATGGTCATGCTTCTGACTGTTCGTGCTCCCAACTGACCTCCTGGAGGGGAGCCGCTGGCAGGCATGCAGTATGTTTAATGCCACTAGTTATTGATTCATGGTAGTTCTTGAACAAAGTAAAAAAAAAACAAGGAAATGTCTACTAAAATTGTAGTTAATCTAACGGAAATGAAACAAACCTAACCAAAGCGCTGCCATTTTAGTCACCATAGGTAACATTTACCTTCTTTTCCTCTGTTTGCTGGGTTTGGAGCAGCAGGTACCCATGTTCTAACCTAATGTAACCTATTCTAATAAATTACCGAAAATTTCCTTTATTCTGTTAGATGTGTTCGAAGCAGTAGGCATTCATGTTTTAACAAAACCTATTTTAATAATTATCAAATAATTTTGTTTTTCGGCTATTTTTTTTGGCCAACAGATAATCCATAAAAAACATTGGCAGAATTTTCCTACTTGTTAAAATTAAAAAAGAAAAAAATTTACAAACTTTCAAATAACACAAACGCCATTAAAAAAAAAAAAAAGTCAACGTGTACTGTCACTGAACTGAAAATTTGCATAATTTCTCATATTTTCTGAATGGAGAATTTTGAAGAACATTAGCATATGAAAGTGTCATGTGTGATCAGTGCCACCTTCATTTAATTTCTAATTGCACATGCCATCGAGATTACCGGAAGCACGGCCATAGGGGTTACCTAGGTATACTTTAACCATTTTTTTATATATTAAATAAAATGAAATAGTTAATAGTTATATAAACTACAATATAATTAATAATATGTGCAATTTCAGTTAGTCTTTTTATCTACAAATCTTAAAATTGATGATTGCTTTATTTTTTCATAACGTTGATACTGTTGAAGATGACAAAGAAAACTTTCTACACACTTCAATGTTTTTAGCACCATGTTTTAACTTGTGAATAGTTTCTACTTTTCATAAGCATTTGTTTCTAACTAGAGTATACAGTAATTTTACAATCGTAATGATGGTTAGGTAAATTGGCAGAGTAGGGCAGGAAGTTAGTCAAGAAAGAGGGGTACAGTCTACAAAAAGAAAATTAAGTGATAAATGGTCTGTAATCAATGCAGGTTGTAAAACTAAGTAACCCTTTCAGTTTTATCTCTTCCAAGAATTTGGTATCGCATTTCTTATACTTTGAACAATTAAGAATGTTTGTGTGTTTTCATAGCTACCAATAATTTTCTCAGTAGATCCATGAAGTACCCTTGTTATAACCATGAGAAAATGTATGGAAATACATGTAAATTAAAATTGTTATGGCGTTTTGCTCGTTATAACCATGAACTCATTATATCCATGTTCGTTAAACTGAGTTTGATTGTGTATCATTTTCTAAATGAAAAAAGCCTTGAATTTGGGCAAGTTTTTTACATCTCACTCAGCTTCCTTAGCTTTCTTCCTCTCTAATTACTTAGATCACTAGCTTATACTGTCGCTTCTTTAGAGGCTAAAAATCACAAATTTGGTGACTTAACTGTTTATATTAGACATAGTCTCTGTATCAGTGGTTGTAGTGTTATGTTGGCCAAGATTTAAATAGTGGGGTCAGTACTGAACAGAACAGATCTGAGTAATAAGGGATACATTAGAGACAGTTGTTAATAACAACAATTTTCATTATAACAATCATTTTTATTTGAAAAAACAAGTGGGTACCAGTGGGTTTGCTTCTATTTGTAGTTTTTGAAGAAATTGTTGTGAGAACAACAGATCAATGAATGCTCTTCAAACATCTACTCTTCATACACAGGAGCTATAAGCCAACAAGTACTGGATTATATCGGGCTAAGTAAAACCTTTATTTTATTTGTTGTATTATTTATACATTGCATTCTATACACTATACAGTCAATTCATGTTAATACGAATCTATAGGGGAACAATAGATTATTTGCCTTATTGAAAATTTGTATTAATGATTTTTAGGGTCAAGGTCAAGGTTGTATAATTTAGGGAGTTAAGGTAATTGAAATCTCTAAATTATAATATTTTGAATTAATTTACTAAATAAAGTTAAATAAGATTCATTTGTTTTTGTAAATAAATTTTATGTCCTAAATGATTTTCAAATCAAATAGAGTTAGGAGGAGACGATATTTGTCATTGAAGCATGGAGCAGTATATCAGAGTGGTTAAACAAAACAAAACTAAAAGAAATCTGTGATTTTTATCTGTTGAAGATTGTTTGAAAAAGTAGAAAATATTGTTTGATTCCAAGAGCTGCCACAAAGCTGTAATTTGAATGGCTCTAAAAGAGTAAAAAAGTAGCCAAATTTGGCACAGAGTAGCTAAACCTGCATGCACTCCCTGATATGCAAACTAGCTCATGTTTGCATGGGACTACATCTATTTAAAGGAATAAGCATCTGTATACTTTAAACCCTATTTTATGAGTACAATAGAATGCTAAATCTGCTAAACACTCTGTACAGAATCTACTAATCTGTACAGAAGATCTGCTGAAACCAGATATTTGAATTGCTCTACAATTGGAGGCTGAACCTGTCTTTGCTTACTAGGAAAAGAAATCTATTCCACACAACATAGAACATTTATTATAGTACCATTTACTGTTTATGTTGAAAAGTGTAAAAACCAATCATTATTGGAAATAGATTATTTCTTTGGGGTTGTGAAGATAATTTACAGCTTGGTTTAACAAAGTCTGGTAAAACTTTTGCTCACTTCATTGCATGAAAATTAATAAGGATGCACCGATTAATCGGTAAGTAATCGGTAATCGGCCGTATCAGCCACTTAGCTGATTAATCTGTATCGGCCATTTCCCCGATCAATCGGTTTCGATAATCGGCCAATTTTACATTTTGGTATTTTTGTTAGAATGTTACATACAATGCTAGTAATAAAACCTAATAAATTTCTGTTACATATTTATTATTTATTACATGACAAACTGAATATTAAAAAAATTTTACAATTCAAATTATTCCTTTCATCGATACATATTATTAGTATAATATAACGTATAATACTGTATAAAGTTTAAACTTTAAATAAAAAAGAGAGTATTGAATATGTTAAGANATTTCAAATTTGTTTTAATACAGAATGAAGATTCTTTAGATACCACTGAAAAGAAAGATTTAAATTCACATTCTGAAATTACTTCAAATTCAGAATGTGTAGATAATACAGATAAGTCAATGAGTATTCCATCAGAACAAAAAACATTATCAGAAGATGAACCAATGTCACCTCCAGCAAAGAGAAGACATATAGATGATAATTTAAGTACAAAAAATTCTGTGTCTGATAATTCAAAAGATTTAGTAGATCAGATAGATAGGAGTGATGAGAATTCAGCTAATAAAACTGAAAGCATATCTGAAATACTTGATGGTGAAAATCAGAAAAATAAAGTAAGCACTAATGAAGAATCTAGTGGCATTTCACCTGATTCTACTTCTGAATTAAAAACTGCATGTACATATTTACAAGAAGATAATGAACAAAATGATTGGTGTTTACAACTCTCGGCTGCTACTCAACCTGTTGAGACTGAAAAAAGTCCATCTCCAGTTGATAAAGATACTGAAAATGCTACAGAAAATCTTACAGAAAATAAAAGTGAAGAAGGTAGGTAAAAAAAATATTTAGAAAATTTATGAAATTTTATTGAATAGAAGTATTCATAGTTATGTTATCAATACAAGTTGTCTAATAAACAAACAGCATTGCTGGATTTTATACTAGCTATCATATGGCTAATTGATCATAAGATGTTATGTAATTTGGACTAAAGGTAGACAGTGAAGCTGCTATTTGTATTAAATTTAATAATTACAAATGAAATTATTACAAAAATTGCTTTTAGCTCTTGGTATAATTAAATTAAATAAAACATCTATGAATGTGAGGCAGATAATAGTAAGGGCTTATCACACCAGTGATAATAAGCACAAATACTCAGAAATCAAAGTAAAAACATTTAATAAAAACAAAAAAGAGGGTGTATAGTAAAATAGACTACATAAGTATGAAAACAAAAAGAACCAAAATGCATTTCAGACTATTTTCCAATAGAAAATAGTCTCTCTTCAGTTGGTAATATACTTAAAACTATACAAGATAAAAATAAATACACTGCTATAACTATATGAACAGTAAGCATCATCAATGTAGACAGATGTAAAAAAATCTTCATAACATTGCAGGGTACTGATACAAACAGTTATAAGTTAGTGCAATAATAGGTTAACAGTTATGTAATAATGTTATATAGACAAATTATATACATACCAAAAACAGTAAGAGAACAGAGTTGAAGGTGGCATTACAAGGTGCAGGGAGTGGTTACAAAGGAAGTTGTTACAGTCAAAATCTGGTGTACAAGTGGTGACAACATATGTTACAATTACAATTATACAACAGTTTTAACAAGATAGTCATAACATCACAAAGATATTTTGTTTTTTAAAAATATAATTGAGCCATCCTTCATCAATTTTAACACCTGAATTATCATTAATTCTATTAACACTGTTAATTTTTAAAATCTCTGTATGTTCTAAATATTTACATTTGTAGGTGTTAGTTTCAAATTTTAGTGTTTTAATTGTACTTTTATCAATTTTGCAACCATATAGATTGCAGTGTTTAGCAACAGCTGAGTATTCAGAATTGTATTTGATGGCATTAATGTGTTCTTTTATATGAACGTTAAGGCATCTTTTTGTTTCACCAACATAGGTCATAGAATTAGTACAGTTGCAATTAAATCTGTATATCGCATTACTTTTTTTAAGGACATTAACCATATTGTTTGGGTGGTTTGGTTGTATGTGTTTTTGAGTTTTGTTACAAAGGTCAGGGACCAAATTGATGTTGGTTTTATTTAAGACTGTTTTAATTTTCTCAAACATATTTTTGACATATGTAAGTTTATAAAACTTTTTTGTACAATTGTTGTTAACAGGAATAACGGTATGGACATTGGTGTTATTATTACACTTATGTTGTTTTAGCCATTTGTCTAGAAGTACTTTTGAGTAATTATTTAATAAGAAGGTCTTAACAACATCTGCAATCTCAATATTCTTTTTATAATCAGAGGTAGTTCTATTAAATATCTTTTTGACGAAATTGACAAAAATGTTTCTTTTTATGAACAAAGGAGTATGTGAGTGGTAGTCCATAACCTTATTAACGTTACATAATTTTTTTGTAATTTTCTATTTCAAGGGTATTAGAATGTTTTATAACTAAAACATCCAGGAATGGTAATTTATTGCAAAGTTCATTCTCAACTTCAAATTTAATGTTATTATCAAAACCATTAACAGTCATAACCAAATCATTAGGGTCTAAGATTACAGGATCATATATTATAAAACAATCATCAACATATCTGTTGAAGAATTTGATGCCATGGATATTATTAATGGAGGTATCAATATCAATAACACTTAGTTCAGCTAAATTAGGGCCAATAATGGACTCCATAGGTATGCCAGATTTTTGAGTATAGTATTTTCCATTAAATTGGAAATGGTTGTTCGATAAAATAAAGACAACAAGGTCAATGAGCCAATCAGCACAATTTATAGACCTGAGGGAATTAACAATTCTATCAATGATAATACTGTGGTACATATTCTTGATATCCAAAGACAACATTTTAAACCTATTTTCCATTTTGACTTTAGGTTATTTAGAAATTCTTCAGTGCTTTTAATGCTGTGTTTAGAAATTACACAGGATTTTAGTTTGGATTTGACAAATAATTCTAAATTATGTAAGCAATAAAATATAAGGTCAACAAGAGGTCTATAAGCAATAGGTGTTTTATGGGTTTTGATCCTTATGTTAAACTTGGGAGTATGATGACCATAACTGGTGATAAACTTAATATCATCTTTATCAATAATCTTAATAGTTGATAGCCCTTACTATTATCTGCCTTACATTTGTAGATATTTAATTTAATTTAATTACAAATGAGTTAATTAATCTATATCTATATCTATACTAATATTATAAAGAGGTAATGTTTGTAAGTAAGTAAGTTTGGATGTAGTGGGTAATCTCCGAAACTACTCATCCGATTTCAAAAATTCTTTCACCAATATTTAGAATGGAACTTCAGGGTGGACATAGGCTGTATATTATTCTGTTAAACATTTATATAAATTAAAAGATATAATCTAGGTTAAGGCTTTTATGTCAACAGATGGCGCTACATGTACGACGCCCTAAGTTTGCTTTTCTGTGAGGCATTATGCTTTTCTGTGAAAATGAACTAAAGCAGATCATCTTCTATCTACAGGTAACCCCTGCATAACACAGCACTTCTATAGCACGGATTCACTCTAACACAGTTCGAGAATTGGGAACATCCCCCGTATAACACGATGGTTTTATAGCACGGGTTCACTCTAACACGGTTCGGGAATTGGATAAACCCTCATACAACATAAAATGTAATAAAGAATGCATTTTTTTTATACTTCCGTGTAACTCCGTGCAAGCATTCTAATTGTTTTCGTAGCTACTTTGAATGCTCTTTCAACAATAATCCATTTAATGGTTAAATTTTACAATTGGAACCCTTCTTTTGCCTCTAAAAGCTCATTTCAGAATTATAGATTCCTCTATCTTGATACTATCAATAGTGCGGGTACCGCCATTTTTCTTTCAGCGTTGTTCCTAAATGACTACAAACAGCAGCACACTCCCATTGCAGAGCGACCACTATTAACAAACGCACCCAAAAACTGTTACCAGTTGATGATGCTCATGTTGAGATCATAGGATGAATAATCCTCTGGTAAAATATTTACTTAAATAATAAATAAGTATTTTACCTATGAAAAAAATGAATAATAAATCCGATTTAAATAAAGATTTAACAGTATGTTTTTTAATTTTTGGAACCTAACCCCCTTTTTGAACTTTTAACACCCCCTTTCATATAACTCGGATTCGCATAACACGGCAATTTTTTGGAACGTAACTTCCGTGTTACACAGGGGTTACCTGTATCTATATAAATAAAAACGTAATGTTCGTTTGTTCCTACCGATTCCTTTGAAATTTTGACACAATGCAGCATTCGAATACGCATGTGTTTTTATATAATATACATGTAGAAATCCCCCCGGGAGATGGACATGANAAAATATTTACTTAAATAATAAATAAGTATTTTACCTATGAAAAAAATGAATAATAAATCCGATTTAAATAAAGATTTAACAGTATGTTTTTTAATTTTTGGAACCTAACCCCCTTTTTGAACTTTTAACACCCCCTTTCATATAACTCGGATTCGCATAACACGGCAATTTTTTGGAACGTAACTTCCGTGTTACACAGGGGTTACCTGTATCTATATAAATAAAAACGTAATGTTCGTTTGTTCCTACCGATTCCTTTGAAATTTTGACACAATGCAGCATTCGAATACGCATGTGTTTTTATATAATATACATGTAGAAATCCCCCCGGGAGATGGACATGATTAAGGCTTACTGTAAAGAACTCTGCTTCTATTTATACTATTTTAGATGCGAGTTTTTGCGTTTTTGATTGCATTTTAATAGGTACGTCAACAGAATATACACTAAAAAGGGATTTTTCGATATTTCCCCCACGGGGGAGAGGGACAGGATTAAAGCTTACTGTGAAGAACTTGGCTTTTATTATACTATTTTAGATGCGGTTTTTTGTGTTTTAATAGGGTATGTCAAGAGAATGTACACTAAAAAGGAATTTTTTGAAAAATTCCCCCCATGGGGGAAGATTTATACTATTTTAGATGCGGTTTTTGCGTTTTTGATTGCATTTTAATAGGGTACGTCAACAGAATGTACACTAAGAAGGGATTTTTCGATATTTCCCCCACGGGGGAGAGGGACAGGATTAAAGCTTACTGTGAAGAACTTGGCTTTTATTATACTATTTTAGATGCGGTTTTTTGTGTTTTAATAGGGTATGTCAAGAGAATGTACACTAAAAAGGAATTTTTTGAAAAATTCCCCCCATGGGGGAAGTGTTATACATTTATAATAGATAAATTTTGAGCCACAACAACGCGTGGCGGAGTCTGCTAGTTTAGAATATTCTGAAGAGAGCAATTCAAAATGGGACTCTTGTGATATCAGAGCCATATTACAATATTTACTTGCATATAAGACAAGGTTTTTATTCATTTATCATGGCCTCAAATTCCTAGGTTGTCCAATATGTGTGAGCAAAAGATTCTTTGCGTTTTTGCAAATAATTTTTGTGACCCGTTTATTCGCATTTTTTACTGGGTGCTTATCCTCTTGTATTTAAAAACATAAGTATTTTATCTGGGTCATTTGAATCGTTCTTGTATATTGTCAGGAGTAAAGATGAATAGCAATAGGAAAAGCAAAGCTTTTGAATTGAATTCCAGATTGAAATACCAAAATCACACGGGAGCCCGATATAAGTTTTAATCCATTCCCACATGAAAACATGATTATTCAGAAATCAGAATTTGGAGAAACTCATAAGTGTAATTGATGGAGAGTTGATTTGACTGTTACGAATTGGCAAAAAAAGGGTTTCTGATTGTCCAGCTTTACATGAACAAATTATGCTGTCAATTT